AATATAAATTTGTGAGGCACATTCACAGGCCACCAAAATCTTTAAAGTGAGCCATAAAATTAAATATTTGGCAATTGCAATTTTTGCAGCTCAAAATCATTAAATTGGTTGAACTCAGCAGTGATTTTTTTTTATTATTTTTTTAAAAAGAATTAATTCGCCTGTTTTTTTTCATGCCCTTCACAGGCTTCAACATGTAAAAATAAATTAAAAAAATACCAACTATTACGACCAAGTGTGCGTCTATATCGGGTCAGCATTGATGAACTCCAAGGCCCGGCTGCAACAGAGAGTGAATGCCGAGAAGGACCGGGTTTCGGGCCGGGCCAGGGTCCTTTTGCACGTGTTTAGGAGGTCGAGGACTCGAGGGCTGCAGTGGATGAACATGAGGGGCCTTTTTGCAAATTTGAGGGTTTGTGCAGTCATAGGTCCAGAGTTTTGGGGTGGTTTTGTAATTCAAGAAATAGGAAGAAAAGAAAAGGAAAAACAAAGTGTATGAAAAAAGTTAGTTGGCAGTTAGTAGTTGTTAGTTGGTTGATAGAATTTTCTTTGGTTGTTTTTTTCCCTCTCATTTTTGAGAATTTCCAATTTCTCACCTCATTTAGTGGATTCTGTGATTTTGGACAATTAAGCATAAGAGTCTAATGGGCAGCCATAAAAGAAAAAAAAGAGAAGCATGGAAAAATCAAATGAATAATAGAAGCATGACATGACAGCACCAACCTGTATAATGCAGAAGAAGAACCTTGCAGATTTCAATCAAGCAATTAAGTTGCACCCCACAGATTTCTGTTTTGATTTTCCATAAAAAGAAGGCATTTATGCTAAAAACAGGAAGGACACAAAAAGGTTGTACCATTGAATAATTTATTTATGTAGCATTATATTACTGTTAAGTCCTCTGTATTATGATACTGCTCCAGTATTTAACCGATTTGCAAAACGAGTCAGGCATCACCAATGAATACAAGCTTCAAGCAAATTTGTAAGTTTTAATGGTATAACAAAGCATTTTTTCTGGTAATTAGGCAAAATCTCATGAATAAGCTTCAAAACTACCCTAACAGATTATCTTCACATCATACTTACTCAATAGAAGTAATATTAGAAAGAAACAATTCGAAGAAAGCAATCTTTTAGTAATATATCTTACAAACAAAAATTAACTACAAAAGCTATCCACCCCAAAGGTTTAACCGATTTGCAAAACGAGTCAGGCATCACCAATGAATACAAGCTTCAAGCAAATTTGTAAATTTTAACGGTATAACAAGCATTTTTTCTGGTAATTAGGGGAAACCTCATGAATAAGCTTCAAGATTAGCCTTAACAGATTATCTTCACATCATAATTACTCACTAGAAGTAATATTAGAAAGAAAAAGCAGTCTTTAGTAATATATCTTACAACCAAAAATTAACTACAAAACTATCCACCCCGAAGGTTTAACTGATTTGCGAACTAGCCGAGGCATCACCGATGAAACGAACTTCATGAAAATTTGTAACTTTTAAAGGTCTAAACAGGCATTTTTCTTGTAATTAGGCTAAACCTCATGAATAAGCTTCTGAGATTAGCTCTAACAGATTATCTTCACACCAGAATCAATAATTATTCAATAGAATACAATACACATACAGAAATGCTGTTGAAGCAAACTCCTCACAATTTATATAAAAAAATACCCATCTCAGCATAACTAACAGAAAAAAGAAAATTCCAAAAAAGCAATCTTTAAGAAAAAAAGGCAAGGTTCTTCAAAGCTACAGGCAATGCATCTAATATCCACTCAACAAACGACAGGACAACTGGAAATCAAGGCATAAAAACGACTTCTTTTATTGATATGTACAGATAAACAAGTGGTTCATTTTACATTCACGAGATAGCTTTAAGGGTATGAATAGAAGCAGCAAAAGCAGCGACAACAGCGTCTAAAGCAGCTGGAGTGAAAATACCGAAAAGGGCCTCGCCGATTTGCAGGATTTGAGGAGGGATTTGGGGCAGCTTGTGGGATTTCCATCGGAGGGCTTTGCTGATAGCTTCGGGCGCGTAGGAAAGAGAGATGGCCGGTGCCTGCGAGAACCTAAGCTTAAAGTCGCACTAAGTAAAGACACGCTTTTTGTTATCTCAAAAAGTTTATTCCGTGGGGAACTAATCTTTTGATAATACAAAGCTCAATTGTAGATTAAATAAGAATTTTTGTTTCATTAGCAATTTGATTGATACACCTCACATTATTAAAAAAAAAGTTGGGACATTTGAAAATCCGATTTGTAATAATAGGAAAAAAATAAATAAATAAAGATATTAAATTTTCAACTCACTCGCGCACCTTATCGGGAGTGAGTGTCAATATATTCGAATGTCACACCGACAAAAGAATTTAGATCGAACACAACAAAAAACAATAGAGTTTTAGATGTTTGGCTCAATAAGGCTCGAAAATATAATTTTTATGTAATTTTCTACCGTTCGGCTTATTAAGACTCGAGAACGAGCCGAACTCGAGTTTGATTATGAGCACGTTAAGTTAAGGAGTCGAGCTCGTTTTGTTGAGGGCTCGAGCTTGATCCGACTCGTTTACACTCCTAGAACCCGATACATGAGCATTTGAAGACCGATTTGTTGACCAACATTTGATATCATAAGGCTTAATGACAATAACCATTGACTTCAAAGTTCTATGACAGTGGACTGCCTTCAATTGAATTTCCTAACCACGTGAAAGAAGTTTTGGACAGAGCTTTGAACTAATGACCGGCTCAAATTTTGCTCCACACCTTTTAAAAGTCATGCACATAATAATATATGGCCAAATTGCAACTTGTTAAAGACCTGTTTTCAGTTTGCCCATAGACCACGTAAAACAGAGTCTTCTCCCGAAGAAAATAAGGTAAATCATATTATGTGTGTGTGCCAATTTTGCTTCAAATAACCAAATTAGAGAATTCTATGCTTTCAAGGAGAAAAACAACTTTCAATAACAAAACTACATTAATATTTTACTTCTGCTCCTTTTCCATTTCATCGTTAGTCACATAAATAGTTCAGTTCCAACTATCCAACATTCGAAAAAGGATTGTGCAAAATGAGTCCAAACTCTGTTAACAACGCATTTATGCACGAGAAAATGACACATTTTTTTTTTAAAAAAAAAAAACATCGAATTTATATGAATTAAACAGTCTTCTCTGCATGCAAGGACCACAACTTAATACTCTGGCAATGAGCGTTGACTTCAGAGTCAAGGTCTTGTCTTGCATTTGGTTAAAATTTTGTGCACGAAGTTGCATTACTTTGTTATTTATTACATATTCACCTGATTGAATTTCAGCAGCATGAGACAAGGCAAAATTTAATTATCTGAGTTGATTGGTGTTTTGTGTGGTACTGTTATTTTATGTGTTTTTAAGTGATTTATTTGTGTTCATTTTAGTTTATTTAAGGTTTTGCATGGCTCCCGAGTGCGTTTTAGTGTTGTGTGTGTGTGTGTATTTTAGTGTGTCTTTTGGCTAGAACTATACATACACTTAGTCCTTTGTATTTTAGACATCTTTTCCACACTTATAAAATTTCTCTTTTTTATTTTTCTGTCTTACAATTCTCCCACTTGAGAAAGATCCGATTTTTATTGTTCTAATTCTTCGTCAAGATTGCGTCTAGTTTATTTCTACTCGTAAGTGTATGAACTTTCATGAGTAGAGTAGACGATCATTCTCGGAGGCTATGGATCATGTGGTTTTGTTGTTGATTACATGAATAGAAATTAAATTGATATCTCGATTAGTTAATTGCAAGGAGCGATTGCTTGATTACATGCTTCCGAACCTTTGAGTGCCTTTTAAGCAATAACATAGTAGTTTCAAATTTTCAATAGCACGAAGCATCCAGCTTCAAATAAACACAGCAAAAGCATCTGATTAACATATCTGCTGCTTATTTCCAACATACTGAAATATAAGCGGACATCGTCATGCCTTCCATAGTTTCCCTCGAGAGTAAAGTTCATCCGCGACTACACACACAAGTAGAAAAGAGAAATAACAGTTAGCACTTAGCATATTTAGATCCCTGGCAAAAAAAAAAAAAATGCAACTTATGTTTTACATTTTCTTGATAAAGTATACCTTATTGAGGTCTTGCAGTAAGAAAATAGAAACATATATCACGCGAAAAGTGGTAACTTCAAAATATAGCCATATAATCCCAATTAGCTGCAACTCAAATCAACGTAAATCTCAGTTGGAAGCTAATTATTAATTAGATTTAAGATTTATTCTGCATAATCACAGTAGATAAATTATACTTGTATATGAAGCACACATATATCTCAGAGAGGAAGCAATTCTTGTTACAACTTGCAAGTGGAAAAAGAAAAGTCATGAGTGAAATTCTCTTAAACAGGACAAAGAAATTATAGGCACATATATATTATCACTTGAAATATAAAGAAAAAGGTGGTGGTGTCATAATCAATCATATGCTACTCGGAATTCCACATTGCAACTTGTTAAACATGACAAGAACAAGTTTTCTATTTGCCCGTAGAAGGTAGAACACATAAAACAGAGTCTTCTCCAAAAAATGGAGATTTAAATGGATATTGAGTATTATAATCCACCTGAACTCAATGTCATGCCTCATTATTAGGGATATCTACCATCATCTGTAAAGTTCCTTTACCAGAATACTGAATACGAAAATTTCAGGTGTCACTAAAAGGACAATATAGTGCCGAAGCATAAATAAAAAAATCTTAAGGATATTAATTTCCAGGGGACTAATTGGAGTGGTAGAGGCCATTCATCCATCATCCACACATCATTAATTTTTAGCAATATAACACCCACAAAAAAAGCACTTCCTATCGTTATCAAAACTATTCTGAAAATTCAGAAGATATTTCAAATTATAACTTGAAATAAGAAGAAAAAAATGGTGGCATCATAATCAATACACAGGAAGAAACTCGTTTTCAATTTGCCCCAAGACCACGTAAAACAAAGTCTTCTCCCCATGAAAGTAAGGTAAAAATCATCAAAATGACACCTTCATGCCATCGTTTCAACTTCCTCTTTGTGGCTATATATATGTGTGTGTGTGCTCCAACTGCCTAGAATATATGCATCAATCGACCACCTGCCCAAAAAAATATGGAGAACAATAATAATTTCTTCATCTTCTCTGCTCTGCTAATTATAATACTCAGCAGCTTGAGTATCAATAAACCTTCCTTAGCCTCCACAACACCACTCCTCAACTCCACAACCGACGTAAATGCACTTGTCCATTTCAAAACTTCCATCACCTCTGACCCTTACCGTATCCTGGCCACAAACTGGTCGATCGATACCTCTTCCTCCTCTGTTTGCCAATGGATTGGTGTTTCGTGCAGCACCAAACACAATGACAGAGTCACGGGACTTAACATTTCCGGTTTTGGCCTCAGAGGAACTCTGTCCCCACATCTTGGGAACTTGACGTTTTTAAGATACTTAGACATGAGTTATAATAATTTCACGGGGCCCATACCTCGTGAGCTGTCTCGTCTGCGCCGCCTGAGGTCTATAGATATTGGATTCAACTCGTTTGCCGGACAAATACCAACCTGGTTCGGAGCATTTCCTCAGCTTGAGATAATGCGTCTGACCAACAACACGTTCACAGGTAGAAATTCCTAAGGACATTAGCAATTGTTACTCCCTCCAAATATTAGATAAGGTAAAACATTTTCTCCAACTTGTACTACTCGTGTTTTTTGGACTTTGCAAAATATAGTATTTTTTTCATGGTAAAATGCAACCTAAACTTGATAAAATAGACACGTGTAGGATCAAGATGTAGGCGAGTTTGTAAATTATGAATGTTTAATAAAGTTTCATGTTTCACTTTACAACGAAAAAATACTACAAGTTGCAAAGTCCAAAAAACACGCATAATGCAGGTTGCAACCAATGTGTTGCCTATTAGATATAAGCTGCAAACAATTTAAAGGTACGGATGTAACCACCAAATATAACTGAATAATGTAGTGGCTTTCTTATTTGATTAATGCAGTTTCACAATGATAAACTATATTACCGATAATTTTTCAGGGTCCATACCTCAAGAGTTGTCCCTCTTGCAGGGCCTGAGGCATATAGATATGGAAGCCAATTCATTGACCGGACAAATTCCGGTGTGGTTTGGCGCTTTACCTCAGCTTGAGCTACTGAACCTTAGAAACAACAAACTCAACGGAAAGATTCCGGAGGAGATTGGCAATTGTTCTTCCCTGCAAATACTATATTTGTCGCATAACCAGTTGACGGGCTCCATTCCGGACATTATCTTCAATTTGTCATCCATTAGAGAGATTCGGGCTTCATACAATTACCTCTCAGGTACGCTTCCAAGTGATATGTGCAACAATCTACCGAACCTGGCTTTGCTTGCGGTGTCGAGCAATCAATTGGAGGGTACCATTCCACCAAATATAGGCAACTGCACAAATCTTGAGGCCCTTTCTTTATCCATCAACCGTTTCAATGGGGAGATCCCAAGCGAAATTGCAAGTTTGAGCATGCTTAGGGTGTTGTATCTCGGGACTAACGAGTTAAAAGGTATATAAGCGCATATCCTCTCATCATCACATTAATTAGATTCCACCAAATATATATAAGTGCACAAAGCTTGAGATCTTGGTGTTTCAATGGGGAAATCCCAAGTGAAATTGCAAGTTTGAGCATGCCTGGGAACTTGGGAATTTTTTTTAAAAAAAAAAATCGTTTACAGTATATAACACGATTTTGTACAATTAGATTAGCCACACGTTCTTTGCTACATCATGCTTTATGGTACTGGATATTTATTTATAATCTACACGTAAAAAAAGATACTAGTAAAAAAAAGTTACTGAATATTCCACAAGCTTTTAGTTATTTTAAGTATTGTTAATGTTATATTGATTATACCTACATTTATTGTTTCAATTCGGTACTTTGAACAATGATTGAACTTTTATAATAATTTTCTTTAACAAGCTTCACACAAATAAATAAAAATAATTTTTTTTTTTTTTTCCTGTGGTTGTTATATTTGACATTTGGTTCTTTTGATGTTCTTCTTGTTATTATATGTGACATTTCGTTTTGCTTAATCATATAATTTTCTCATATGTACTTGTTTTCAGTCAATATAAATATAACTTCTATCACTATATTTACAAATCTCATGCAAACTTCAAAGAGTTCAATTTTTTTTCTAACGTTTTTCAAATTACATTAAATAACACTATTTTGGACAATTAGATCATGCACCTGCATTTAAAAATATTTACATTTATTTTTCAATATAAGAGAATAAATTAGGACAATTTTTATAAAGTTGAGGCAACTAAATAAAAGATTAAATGCTTCAAGAAATTGGAGGATGAAGTATATACATGCAAATCATAATTTAGATACTCGGTTGGCCAATCACTAATTATCTCCATTGGTGATTGAGTTATATTGTTGGATTCTTCAAGAATGATATTTTCTAAAAAGTATAAAATATGATTAACCTATAGAATTTAGAGTGACGAAATAAATGAAGATGAAATTTTGGGGAAAAAATTGGAAAACACATGAATTGTAAATATCAAAAAATAAAAATTTCCCTAATATTAACATTTCCTTGTTAATCAGGGCCAATCATGAATAAGCATCCACCGTTGGACATGTATCAATTTATATCATTTAGATTTCTCAGGTACACNGTTCTTGTTTAAATAATTTACAGGGTCAATACCAAAGCAAATTGGAAATTGTACTTCCTTGAAAGAAATAAGCCTTTCTGACAACCATTTGACAGGTATGAGCTATTTTTGTTTAGTTTCATGCTATTTCACCATTTCTTTAGCAAATGACAAAATAATTATACCCTACCATCTTCTACTCTATATGTTGTCAACATAACCTTTTACATATTTATGGTTTTAACATTCACTAAAATTTGACTTAACAATGATGTAGTCTTAATTAATTATGATGAATTGCAATTTTCATCCCATTTTACAAAATTAGGAAATGACAAGTGCGGTGCACGTGGAGGAATATATATTTTTTTTGGTCACTATTTTTTTCTGATTAAGAAAAATAATTACTTTATTACACACAAAAGTTTATAATTGAAACGTATAAAATGATCCCGAGTGCGCTCAACGTTGTACAAACAATTATAAAAACTACAATTTGCGGAAGTAATAACCGCAGATTTAAAAACCTTTCAGGGAAACATCTCACTTCCCCTCAGAGCTCTTTCATTGACAACTACTGAATACATAGTTTGGATTTACAACATAGAACTCCCTTCTATTCTAACCACAACTATGAACTAGCCTATCAATTACTTTTCCGGCCACGTCCCGTAGACTTTCACTTCACACTTACTCCCTAAGTGTAAATGATTCAAATGTTCAAATCAGAATAAACGAAAACAATACAACTGAAATAATCTCAATTCCTCGATGATCAAGTAATGCGAGAACTGAACTCAAAAGAAAATAATAATGTCAGCAAGAAACTCGAAGCTTGAAGGTGATGAATGATAGCCTAGCTTCAGCAGCCGCACTTCAAACTTCAAGATTAGTTTAAATATGATTTCCTAGATGCCCACGATCCTTGGTCTCTCTTTGGTATATCCAAGAAGTCCTACCATGTAGAGGACTCTTCTTCTCTCTCCAAATATTATCTTGCCTTAGTTATCCGATCCCTTCCTTATCTCCCGTGATTTTCTACTTGCGTGAGACTCCTATTCATGTGCACCGATTTCCTACAAAATGTAAATACACAATAAGTTCAAAAATTCCTTTAACAAAATATAAACTAATTTAGGAAACAAGAACTTCCCTTATTTATGCATGCAGGAACTTTATTTTTGAACTCATGCCAAAATATTACATCTTTCAATAATTATATCATTTCAATCTACAGTAATTAAAATATGAAATTACAACTTAAGAAAGTGTGATAGTTGTAATGAAATAAAATATGTAACATGATGTAACACAGAAAGCAAAAGACCTATATAATGTCCTAATATAAATTATAAATGCATTAATCTTTTTCTTTCTTTATATGTATAGTTGGAGGAGTAGTTATCTCGCTATTAGCTTTTGATGTTCCCTTCATATATTTCATTTGACTCAAAATCTTTCTAATTGCAAAAGGACTATTATCCTTTTCATCTTTCTTTATTTTGTTGGATGTTTGCTTTATTTTATTCACATCATCTTATGAGATGATAACTCATTTTTAATTCCTATTAGAATAGAATAGAAATGAAAATGAATAAAATGAAAGGAAATCTAATTCAATGCTCAGTTGGTTTCAAAATAACATTCTCATAGAAAATCCATTACGGAATGACAATATGTTGAAAGAAATAAAAAATTTGACAATCCTTTTCTTAAATCAAAATCATAGTTTTATAAAGTAGTGGATACAATAAAATTTAAAAATGATGATATAATACTTTTTTATATTATCCAATATTATTATAATCATACTATTAAATACACATTTTTTATTTTAGTATCATCCCTCGAATCCAAATTATCACTATTCTCTAGTCACTAACGTTTCCAAGTCTAACAATAACTTCTAAGTGCACAAATACATTTTTTTGTTTTCTTGTTTGGTTATATTGGAGAGTGATCATGTTTCTAATCCAATAATTTATAATTGAATATATTATCATTTTGTTTTTTTTTTTCGTCCTTCTCGTGGGTAGTTTAGCTCTTTTTGTGTTTCTCTTACCATTGGTTCTCTTGGGTTTCATCTCTAGCCTACTTCAACTTGCTTGAGACTAAAATGCTATGTTGTTGTTGTTGTTGTTGTTGTTGTTCGTGTGTAGCTTAGAAAGCAGTTGATTCATGCATGTATAAGTATAACAATGGCAGAAGAAAATTAAAAATTAATTTGGAAGGATAGATTAGAATACTATAGATTGAGATTAAGAAGGATAGATTACAATCATAATAGATTTGGATTTTTAAATATAATTATGAAATTACCATGAAATATATATTAAATATAAAGGTATTTTAATTTGTTCAAATTTTTATAGAACAATTTCTTATTTGTAGTAGTAGAGAATAAATATAATTTGAAAGATTCATATAGATGTAAATATAGATAGTTAATATAAATAGATAGAAAGTCCTTTTATGTTTGTTGTGACTACTTCATGCAGCCCTGAACGATGATTGTGATGTAAATAACAGGTAATTTACCGAAAGAGCTGAATAAGTTGGCATTCCTTGAGTTATTCAGCGCAGCCATCAATCAATTGTCCGGATCAATCCCACCATGGATCTTCAACATATCAGCTTTGAAACACTTATCTCTTTCAGCTAATCATTTCTATGGAATTCTTCCCCTCTCTCCCGAGCTCTCTCTTCCAAATCTCGAAGAATTGTATTTGTCAAGCAATGAACTCCATGGGGAGATTCCGATTTTTATCACCAATGCTTCTAATTTAGATATGCTGGAAGTGTCAAATAACTCATTCAGTGGCTCCATACCCAACTTGGGCAGCTTAAGGCTCTTACGTAGGCTTCACATTTGGGGTAATTCTCTGAGTGGATTAGGATTTATCTCTTCATTAGCTAATTGCCAATTTTTGGAGGAGTTAGAGATTTCGTTAAACCCACTTAACGGCATCCTCCCTGATTCCATTGGGAATTTATCAAAATCTCTTACAAATTTCCGGGCACATGGCTGCAACATTAACGGAGTTATTCCTTCTACCATCAGAAAACTGATTGGTGTGCAAATTTTAAGTTTAGCAGGAAATCAAATCACTGGAGTTATACCTCCAACATTAGGGAAATTAAATCGGCTTCAAAGATTATATCTTTATGCCAATCAACTGCATGGGTTTATCCCTCAAGATATTTGTGGGATGAGTAATATAGGTGAATTGTACCTGCAAGAAAATAACCTCACAGGTCCCATACCTGAATGCTTCGGTGATCTTAAATCCCTCAGAAATATCTACTTAAGTTCCAACAAGTTGAATTCCAGCATACCTCTCAACTTCTGGAACTTGAAGGACCTTTTGTTTCTCAACTTGTCCTCAAATCGTTTGAGTGGTCAACTTCCATATGAAATTACAGGTTTGAGACAACTAAATGAACTAGATTTGTCCTACAATCTATTTTTCGGAGACATTCCAAGATCAATTGATGGTTGCGAATCATTAACATCTCTAAATTTGTCGAATAACAAATTTGAAAGATCCATTCCTCCATCACTGGGGAATATCAGAGCCTTGATGGCATTGGATTTATCTAACAATAATCTTTCGGGACTGATACCTGAGTCCTTAGAGGGCCTCAAATTCCTTCAATACTTTAATGTGTCTTACAACAAATTGGAAGGAATTATTCCCACAGGTGGCCCTTTTGTTAACATTACTGCTCAATCTTTTCTTCACAACTCTGCTCTTTGTGGAGACCAAAGATTTCAAGTGCCTCCATGCATTGGGAATAATCTCAAGAATTCTAGACTAAAGAAAGTTGATCGGCTGATGAAGTATATTGTGCCTCCGTTCATTTCAGTTATGATATTAACAGTCATTATAGTACTTGTGTTGGTGAGGACACGAAAACCAAAAAGAGGGCTTGCTCCTACTGATGATATTTCACTAGGTATTACTTGGAGAAGAATCTCATACATAGAACTTGTTAGGGGAACTGACGCCTTCAGCGAAACAAACTTACTTGGAAACGGCAGCTTTGGTTCGGTTTTCAAAGGGGTGCTTTCTGATGGACTAAATGTTGCAGTGAAAGTCTTCAACTCGCAATTAGAAAGAGCTATCCGCAGTTTTGATACGGAATGTGAAATACTTAGCAGCATTCGACACAGAAACTTAGTCCAAATAATTGGTTGTTGTAGCAACACAGAATTCAAAGCTTTGGTTCTCGAGTTCATGCCAAATGGTAGTCTCGAGAAATGGTTGAACTTGGAAAACTGTGTTTTGGATTTGATATCAAGGCTGAAAATTGCAATAGATGTTGCATTAGCCTTGGAATATCTCCATCATGGCCATACATTCCCGGTAGTTCATTGTGATATAAAGCCGAGTAATGTGTTGCTTGATGAGGATATGGTTGCCCGGCTTTGTGATTTTGGGATAGCCAAGCTCTTTGATGATGGGGAGAATATTGTTCTTACGAAAACCTTGGGGACAATTGGTTACGCCGCACCAGGTGATATTCTTATTGTTTAATATCTTAATTCCTTATTTATTATCTTTCTTTTAATTTCTTTATTTCTATTTTTCTGTTTCATTCTATATTATTTTACATAATGGGTCAATTAGAAACTTTTTCTTTTTCATATCTATTGTAACTACTCTTTACTAAATTTAAAAAAAAAAAAATCATTTAGTCTGTTTATTCAAAATTGAAAAAATCTAAACTAATCCAACGATAATGTTGTGCTTGTGATACAATTAGAGTATGGATCAGGAGGCAGAGTGTCAACGAGTGCAGACGTTTATAGCTATGGCATACTGTTGCTGGAAATGTTTACAAGCAAGAAGCCAACTGATGATACTTTCAATGAAGAGATGAGCTTGAAGGATTGGGTACTTGAAAATTTACGAGAAAATGCAGTAGCTAAAATTGTGGGCACTGATTTGCTAGCAAGTGAAGATCAGCATTTTCATGCAAGGGAGGAATGTGTCTCGTCTATCTTTGGTTTGGCAATGAAATGTTTGGTTGTTATTCCCGATGAAAGGATTAACATGATGGAAACAACAGCTACACTGCAGAGGATTAAAGCCAAAGTTGTGGCTGACACTACAAGTCGTCAACAATATGCAATGTCCATTATTCAAGACAATAGGTATTGATATATAATACGGCATTGATTCCAATAGTATGTTTATAGTGTGAAATAAAGACAGTGGCATATATGACCAGGTAGTTATTATGTTTCGGACTGTGGTGTACTACTTGTAATAAACAATAGGATTTCTACTCGGGTTTGATCAAATGAATCGAAACTTTTATACAGTTGCAAGTACCTAAAGGCATATTAAAATGAGATGTCATTGCCGTAGTGGAGAATCTGCTAATCTATTTTGAAGAATTTTTCTAAAATATATACCATTACTGCCTGAAACTGAGGACAAGGAAAGGCTCTAATTTGATTTCAAAATGGACCATCATCTTGGGGCTTGGAATACATTATAAAAGTTCTGAAAGACTTTGAGATACTGTTAGATCTATAAATTTTGTTCAAGATAATAACTAAACTATGTAATTATGACTCTACAATCTTTTACCATGCCTAGGTTAAATGGGTGTTCGAATGCACTCTCATACTGTCAGATCTCTAATTTTTTGTTCAAGATAATAACTAAACTATATGATTATGACTCCGAAGATGTGCCTACAAAACTATATATAATATCAAAGTCAAACAGAACAAGACAAAAATATAACCAAGTCATCTTCATCTTTCCTAAGCATGCAGGTTTTCCATTGGGATCACTTTCATATTCCAGTGTATATATAATATATATTCATACCAAAATCTAAATTTAAGTAGAACCCAAAGTATTACCTGGGGGAAAACGGCCCTCTTCAGAATGAAGTTCTCAAGAAGGCCCGTCACCTAGGAAGCGTCGAACTTGGGTCGGGTCAAGACTTGGTTGATCTCGATGTACTAACTTGGTTTGGTTTCTTGACGGATTTCTTCAGGTTTTGCCGACCTCATCAGCCCTTCTGGCGGCCTTCGCCCGGCGATAAGCCACGTCAACAAGGGAAATTCCTGTTTTCTCCTTCTTGCTTTTCTGTTCTCCCTGGTCAGTTTCAAATACTAGCTGTACTTGAGTAAGCATGCACTCACTGATTTTGCATATTTCATTTCTGAATATGTACAATATATGATACGGCATTATGGATATATTATATACTAACTAAAAAGTAAAGGTACATCATCTACTAAGCAATTTTTTATCCTTGGCACGATTTATATGTCAAGAATATTAGCAATAAACTCAAGTAACAATATTAGCACGATTTATATTCTTCATCCTCTAACATATTTCTAGCTGCTCCAATTTCCTTCGCTTTACCTAGCCAAATGTTTCTAACAAGAAAAGAAAATCAGCTTTTTATATGAATCAAATTTGTCCAGACAAATTATAATGAAGGCATTAGCGTGTAGTACCTCACGCTCTCGTTTCTCTTTCCTTCATCTTCAATTCTTCTGCTTGTTCAACACTAATTGCCTCATTGCCAGAACCTTTTCTCAAATACGAGAATTAAGTTTTCTAAAAGAGAGAGTGACAATTGTACGGATAACCAAGAGCATACAGAAACTCCCCAGACAAAATGCTATTCCAGATAATTACCTTGGCTTCCTTACCTACAAGCTTTTTCTCCTTCTCTGTAACAAACCAAGTTCTTTTCGACCTTGAACAAATTTCATCTTTGTGAGCAATCAGATGCACAACAATTTTAGCTAGGGAACAACTTAATACTGAAAAGATTAATAAATTTGAAGAAAATATAACCTTTTGCCTCCATTTTAGCTCTCCTTAGCGCCATTTCTTCCCTGAAACAAGAATTAAAAAAAAAAAAGAAAGGATATGTCATTTACATTTTCTTTGGAAATCTGATGACACAATGTATCATTTACCTTTCTTCAAGAAGAATTGAAGAAACTTCGTCTTCCATTTGCTCAATCATTTGGGACCATCTCCTTATTGATTGCTCAGCTACAATCCGGCTTCTGAGCCTTGAACCAGCTTTCTTAACCTGTGATGACGGTTCAAATCATTCCGTACGTAATTTTTTTGGGCCATAGTCCTAGTTATGTGCTTCATCTTAATTCATTGTCCAAGGCCAAAGCTCAAGTGTAAATTTCATCTGATGAAGTTTTTCCTTCAAGAGAAATACATAATACTTGCACTAACTCACGGAAGTGTGGAACAATAACCTAACTAAGTGATCAATGCCATGAAGTAACATTATAAAATTTGGGTTTGAATTGAAAGGCACCATTTTTTTAAGTCCCATGAAAACAACAACATGAAAGAGCCCATTTGACCCAACCATAAAAAACCTACAAAGTAGACAATAGCAAATACCAAAACGAGAGCACAACTTCGTGGAGATTTTCAATCGAGCAACTGAACCTCAACCTCCTAAAGCACACAAAATCAGACATATCCACAAGTCGGTGTACATAACTGCATGGATATTACATATTCTCAGTTATACATTATCAGTAATACTTAGATTGACTTGATGAAAATATATAAGCAATAATTAGTTTCGGGAGATTGTGACACTTCATTTATGACTGTCCCATGGAAATTTTTTTTTTTTTTTTTATGTCGAGAAATGGTCACAGGAGGTTTTTCTTTGATGGGAAGGTTGTTATAAATGCATATTGTCTCAAAATTGCACCTTCAAACGGCTCAGTGGGATGGTTGAATGATTTCCATTTTTCCATATGAAGGACTACAAGTTGTAAATGCAGAGCTGCAGATAAGTAGTTGGTACTCAGTTTGTAAACCATTAGAGTAAATTACCTCGTAAGGTCTCGAGGACATGCAAAATTGATAACCGTCTGAACCCCTATAATATCAAGACCCTGAAAAATTAAATACAAGAGTAAAGTGGGAACAACAAAGCAACATCACATGGATCTAATGATCTTTATAAAAATTCTAATAATCGGGAGTGCTTGGTAACATTAAAGGAATGTGAACAGCTATGGGAGTGAAAGAAATGGGTAAATACTTTTCATAAACCCNTTTTATACTTTCATATAATAAGCAAAATAGAAGGTGGGTAAAAAATTTTAGTTGGCAAAATGCTCTTAATGCGTCTTTATATTGCTCAAATATGTAAATTTTTTAAGTCCATGTTCGTTTATACATTATACTAAATAATTGTGCAACTTTTGACACATAGTAAGACAAAAGAGCTATTAAATTATTGTTACATGTATCTTAACAACTTCCCCACTAAGTATATGTATTGACAATCTTGGTCAGTATAGTTATTTTAGATGTTATTTTCTCTGTGTGTTGGTTAACATCGTTAATTTTTTATTTAAAGTCAAAGTAAGCCTAAGCTAAGGTTAAATGTATGTTTACAAGTTACAACTCTCCCACTATTTATATGTTTTGACATCGTCTTTATTTGTACAGTTGTCTTGGATATTACTTTTCTCACGCTGTTGATCGACACTGTTATTTGAAGTCGGGTTAATTTTGCTTTTTTAGTAATAATGCAGGTCGAGTTCTCATTTAGTATGGGCCCCACAAACTGCTAGCATTATCTTGGTCTGCACGGTGTTCTTGGATATCACTTTCCTCTAGTGAATGGGCGACACCATTAACTATATGAGATTGGGTTAAGATCATGCTTTGGTGATAATAACGCATAGTTGCCTTGTGTATCACTCTTCTTTCAGGTGGGTTAAGACAAGCTTTGGCGTTAATAAAGCACACTTGTCTTGTGTATCACTTTTCTCTCATTAATGACCGGCACCGTTAACTCTATTTGAAGCACGGTTACAACCTAACTCCATTTGATGTCAGTTTAAGACCGAGCCTTGGTGGCAATAACTATTGAAATCGAATTAGGAATCGACTCTATTTGAAGCCGAGTTAGGACCGAGTTGTGGTGATAAGAATGCACTTCCGGCATTCTTGTTGGTCTTCTCACTTTGGTTTTAACAATTATCAATTAACCTGATTCACCTCTATAAACAGAAATTGTGCTATCGTTTTGTTTTCCTTTACCAAAAATGTATTTTCTCAAGGCAAAGTCGTTCGTTTTAACTCAATTTTCATTCAAACAATAGTTCAACTCAGTTTCCGTTCTAACAATAGTTCATAGCTAATCAGAAGTCTCAAGAAAAATAGGACAAATCCACACTAATAAATATAGCAAATTCCAACAAAATAAGATCACACCATAATAATTCGAAAATATCCAAAGCAATAACAAAGTAGTTTCAAATTCTCAATACCACAAAGCATCCCCAGCTTCAAATAAACACAGCAAAAGCATCTGATTAACTTATCCGCTGCTTATTTCCCACACACTGAAATATAATATTGCAGTCCAAATGCAAATGACTCACGAAAACAAATAGCTTAATCATATTTAAGTTTTGAGTAAAACGGTAAGCGGACATTGATCATCAAGTAGCCTCAGTAAGCAAAGCATCGTCATGCCTTCCACGGTTTCCCTCAAGTAAGGTTCATCAGCGACTGCACACACAAGTAAAGAAAAATAAACAACAGTTAGCACTTGTCACATTAAGATCCCAGACAACAAAAATAAACAGTAAAAATAAGATCTTTCACAAAAAATTGCCAATTATCTTCAACCTCACGAGCACCCACATTAAGGTATAACAAAAACCAACTTACGTTTTGCATTTACTTAATGAAGTACACCTTATTGAGGTTTTGCAGTTAGAAAATAGAAACGTACATCACGAGAAAATTTGTAATTTCAAAATATAGCCACATCATCCCAATTAGCTGCAACTCAACTCAATGTAATTGTAAAACTCAAGATAATTTTAGCAAGTAAACCTAAGAACCTTACAGAAATTTAGAAAAAAAAAAAACAAAAACAGAAATCCACTTTACCAGGCACAGACTTCGTTCGAAACCTCAAATCCTTCACCCCAGGCCAGCCCAATCCAGCCGCCAGCCCAGGCGCTCGCCGGTGCGGGCCACCACCCCCCCACCGGCATCACTAAAATCGGCTGACTGCTATTCAGATTCCTCTAGAAGTTCACCATCATCCGAAAGCTCATCAAATGCCCTCACATCCAGCTGGTAGCGTAGTATCCCCCCAATACCCCCAAACCCACGGCAAAACTGGGAGCCCTCCTGAGACTTGTTGGTCACAAACTCGAGAGTGCACCCAAACTTCCTGTACTCATTCGCAAACCACTCGAGCAGCAGCATATCCTCCTGCACCTCCAGCTCAGCATTCGTTGCAGCATCCCGGAAATTATTCTGGTCGGCCGCTTGCTCCTTGGTCAGGTTCTTAATCAAAATCTCTCCAGTTGTGGGGTTCTTGAGTATGTATCTAGTCACGTCTAGATTTTCCCAGACAATTAAAGTTTCGACTGCCCCCATCTCCAGAACCTTCATTGTGTCATCCACCCCGAAAACATATTTGCCTGTGTCCTGACTAATCTCCTCAAAGTACTTCCCGATCAGGCGCTTCTCCTGTATGAACTTGACGTTCGAAAGGATCTCAGCCGAGAGCTCAATCGCCTGATTGAACCCATTCTCCCCACCGTACGAAACGTCCACCACATTCAGAATCTTGGCCTGCAGTCGAGGGTCAAACATGTCCGACTGGCTCAGCTCAGTCTTGAAGTCGGCCGAGCCAGCAAGGATGAGCCCCGCCACATTGGGCTGGCTCGTCTGGGCATTGATGTAGAATTGAGTCGCCAGCTCAGCAGTCTTCCTCACGTAGTTGTGGCGCTTCTCCATTCTCAACCGGGCAAAACGCAAGGCCGACTGGCCCCCACGCCCGTGCTTCTTAGGCAGGTCGACGGTGAACTTGTGCAAGATTTCACGCGTGTTGCCACTCAAGGTACCAAAGAGGGTGCCATTGCCATCCATGATAATGAAACCGAACTTGTCGTCCGATTCCAACAGCTCGTTCAGGGCTTCGGTGTGGAACTTGTTGTCACAAAGGTAGAGGGACGAGTTTATGGCGCGAAAGGGCTCGAAATCGAAGGTGACTTTTTTTTCCTTCCCTTCTTCAGTGACAATAGTGCCCGTGTAGAGGACAAGGCCGTTGGGAGGGACTTTGCTGTAGAGCTTGAGGCGCTGCTGGGCAGAGGTGATTGCGCCGAGGACCGACTGGCGGTTGACTCGGCTCTTGATGTTTGAGGCGGTTCCGTATTCGTCACCGAGCATCTTTGCCACACGAGCAATCTGGTCGCGAGGGGGCATTATGAGGGAGATCATGCTTGTCCCGTTTCCATGGGCAGCCTCGAGTGCCTTGATCAGCTTCTTGATCTTCCATATCTCGATGTTCTTGTCGGTTTCTTGCCCGTCTGCCATTTTTTAGCTTTTTTTTTTCTTTTATGGGAAACTCTTGAATAGAGGGGGGCGGGAATTCAAGAAATAAACATGAAATAAAAAACAATGAAGTAAAGAGAAACTAAATTAGCAACATTCTGAAAAGCTTATTATACAACGGCCTAATAGAGGCTACACAAGTGACAGTTGAGGATTCCAGTAAAGCATAAAAGATTTAGCAATCACAGGAGAAGAAGATTAGCCATCATAGGTGAAAGTAGATTTTCACGTGTGTTTGTTTGTTAAGATGCAGTTCGGGGTTAACAAACCAAATGATTTTATTCAAAGAACGAACTCTGAGGTATAGTTGCAGTGTATGTGCATCTATCTCTAACAAATAAGAATCAGAATTTTGCCACAAAGAGATGACAGAAAAGAGACCACATATTGATACTGAGTTAACAGTCGTCATATCTAAGAACCTAAAACCTGGTATTCAGGGTACAACACACTCATTCACTACATAGACCATAAAGGAAATAATACACACGTATCACGCTCCGGGAGAATTGAACCAATAAACCATTAATTTACACAGTTAAATATTACATTCTCCATAAATCAATGATCAAGCCAACTCAGAAACAAAAAAGGGCTTATCAGATACCATCAGCATATCATGCAAGTCAGAAACCATTAATTCAGACAGCTAAATATCACTTTCTCAAGAAATCAAAGATCAAGCTCAGACACACACACACACACAAACACAAGGCTTATCAGAAACGATCAGCATATCATGTAGGACGAATAACCCAGATAAATCACTAAACCATACAAATAATGTCATCAGCAACAGAACATGGAGAAAAATATAATCACATATCAACCATAAACACGATCAACGTAATAAATCCAGAATATTAATCAACATAACCAACAAATACCTCTCTCCACTGATGATGCTATAGAAAACAAACAAAAAGGTGAGCTAACCTAACACCGTAACACGCAGCTCAGCAAAAATATAGATTAAAAAGGTGATCATCATAAACCATCGGCTATCATAAGAGGAACAACTCATAAACCACACAAACAAAGCTATCAACCATAGAACATGAAGATCAAAGATCACCATCTGCCACAAACATAAACGCCGTATGTAAAAACAGAAAATTAAACAACACATTCATCAAGGTACCTTTTCTGATGACGATGCTAGAGAAATCAAACAACCAAACAAAAAAAGGTGAGCAAGAGCAAGAACCTAACGCGCAGCTCCGCAATAATGAGCAAAAAAAATCTTGACCAAGTTATATATATGAATGAAAAGGAAAAACGGAAACCCTAATCACAAAACGGTGGTGTAATTAACCACACCACAAAAACATCGTGGCCAAAACGAAATCGATTTCTGATTGTGGATTTTCGAAAAATTATAAGATTTTGATTAGTATATTTAGTTATTTACCTGTTTGACCTTGTGCCGCGAATGAGACTTTTGTTTGGTGACTGTGGGAGGCAGGGGCCCTTTTGTAGTTTTAATCATGGGACAAATGATGAAAACCGAACTTTGAGGGGTCCAATTGGATTTTTAATTGAATTATTATGTAAAGTATTTTGATTTTGAATTATAAAACATTATCTTATTTTAAAAAAATTATATTGATGTCATTTGAAATGTCAAAGTAATAAACTGAGAGTTTCAATTTGATATTCATGTTAAAAAAATATATATTTATAATTCTAATATTTATTAGAAATAATAAAATATTATAATATTTATTTAAAAAATATATAATATATAAAAAACATGAAGTCCAAACGACAAATGCTATTTTAAATATTAATAATACTATCATTTCTTAATAATTATTTAAAATAAAAAAAATATTCTTTTATAAAATATAATTTATTTATTAAGATTCGAATAACATACTTAGAGCGTCTCCAATGGCATAATTATTGTAAGATGTCTGGTGTGAAGAAATAAAATAAAAATATTTTGTATCCAATGGTTAATGTCAATTGTGGAATAATTTTACGCTTGTAAGATAATAATTGGCTTGTAAGATAATAATTGGTTCGTAGATAGTGAAATATAAATATATAATATAATATAAAAAAAAAAGATGTCTAAAAATCTTTCTACATCTATAGATTTCTACATATTTTAGATGTCACGTTGGATTTTTTAGTCCACGTGACAATGCAATAGAGCAATCCATGATTTATTGGAGATGCTCTTATGTTGTTCTCGTAAATTAATTAAATCAAATTATTTGATTACCAGTAAAAACACAAAATAAAACATTCAGAAAAATTATAACATAGTATTTGTCTAACAACTTTTCAAATGCAAAATCAAAGTTGAATCCTCTGAGCAAACTCGACCCAGAAAATTCTCATATGATAGAATTGGAGATGCTCTTATGTTGTTCTCGTAAATTAATTAAATCAAATTATTTGATTATCAATAAAAAAAAAACACCAAATAAAAACATTCAGAAAAATTATAAATTGATCCAGTAATTTGATAATATAAATTGATGTGTTATTTTTCTCATGTTCTCTAATAAATTGACCATATTTTATCCACATAGGAGTCTACTGTATACGACAAGTTATATGTCTTTTTTTATTACATTAAACCTGGATTAAAAAAAAAAACACCCACATATGATAATTTTGTCCACTAATGACTCTACTTTAATTTTTCCATTATTTTATAAACGTAATGTACATTTATTTATCAAATTGATTTTTTTAATTTAAATATTTCTAAAGGTTGCTAATAATACATAAAGAATATTTAATTCTTACAAAACATAGTTTTACTAAAAATGTGTAATAATAAATGGATGCATAGAGTTATGTATCTTTTAAAAAATAAAGCAAAGTATAGTATACTTATTTATTGTTAATAATATATTAAAAAAAAAAAAAACGAGTGGGTTCTCAATTAATTTCGCCATTCGAGCCGGACCAAAAGCCCAATTTTCGTGGGCCTGCAACATTACTAATTATAGTTCAAATTGAGTTCGTATCTAAAGTACGTAGTAGGAAATGTTCAGAATCCAACGTCAGCCCATTGACATATGTTGAGGTGTTGACCAGTCCAGCCGATTTCAAAGTATGAGCCTTTATGGAAATGAGTTGGTCTTATGAACTAAACGAGCTCGAGATCATATCATTTATACTATTAATAATTTAAACTCGAGTTTTAATGACCTCAATTATAAAAAATTACTTACAATTAGTTAATGTAGTTATATACTTATGCATCTCAAGTCCCATGATGTATAATGTATCTGGTTATTATTATTTTGTAAGCAAGCGAAGAAAAAAATATTTTTTAATTAGTCTTGTTAAGCCATATATAACCGCGCACTTGGAGTTGTTGCTCGTGAGCTCGACTTTGTTTGTTTGATAAACGAATTCATCTTTAACTCATTTGAGGCTCGTTATGTTTGACAAATAAAATTTTTTTACGTGATTTATGAGCTTTTCAAGCTTGTTTATCTCCGTGTTAAGTTAATGAGCTAAGTTCAACACAACTCGATAAGTGATCAACTCGACTCGGCTTATATAATGATCTAAGTGGACCTATTTGTTTATTATAGAAATTTGTGCCTAGAAAAGAAAAAGATGAAATAGCCATTCGTGTAGTGTTCCTATTAATTAAGCTGCTTCACGTTACCTTGTCTGCGTACTGTGGATTATNCTAACCACTACAATTTTAATTTATTGCATTATTGTTTTGATAGCTTTTGATAAATTCCAAATAATTGTACTTTGTACATCTGTATGTGTTATTGGGTGCTCAAAGTGAATATTGTCAAGACAAAATCTGGCAAAAAGATGATCAATTGTTATTAATGGGGCAACTTTTGTGATTATAGGCTTTTTTAACAACCATGAAATTTTATTATAAAGTTATTTTAATCTAACGTGATTAATAATTACTCACATAGTATGGGTTATGAAATTTTTACGGTTGTTACAATTTTATATTTTTAACAAATATATATACTTTTAAATTGAATTATCATATTCATTGTATATCTATGCATTTTTATCAAGATAGTACAATATACTGACTCATCTAACGATTTAGGTTGTCCCGTATATTAATATATACATATATATAATTGATAAGACTATTCAATGACCTACTTATAATATATAAGCGTATAGTAGAAACTATGATTTTGAATTTGTACCATATAAATTGTCATCATCTTCTTGTTCTCGTTTCCTTTTCTTTTTAATTTCTAAGTGAGATACCATGCAATACAATATGGAAAGTTAGGACTATGTTTGGATACAAAATTTTTCAAAAAAATCCAAATATTTTTAACTCAACCATTTTTTTTAACTCAACTTTAACTCAATCTCACTATCATCAATATTATCAATATAATTAAATAATATCAATCAATCATTCTTACCCACCACCTTACCTTAATTCACTATTCATCCACTCACATAATTTTAACTAACCATCACTTCAAATTTTCTCTCACCTACTTTACATCAAATCAACTTTAATCATTTTATTTTAAATATTATTTAATATACTCACTAACAACTAACCATACCAACTTTTTCAAAATTAACCAAACCAAACAAAAAAATCCAAACAAAACCAAATTTTTTTATATCCAATCATCCTAAGTTTTCCTTATATTTTCCAAGGAATAAAAGGGTCCCAATAACACTTTATCACGTGCCATCCACATGCTGACCAATATAAAGGTTCGAGTAATATAATACTTGCTTTTGTCTTGATGTCAATTTCGAATTTTCCAACCCGTGTGCTAGTATTTCTTTTTTTAAATGTGAGAGGAAAAATAATCGTTGTGCATCAGTTTATGGCAAAACAAAACACAAACTTAAATTCAAAATACAAGAGAAATGAAGAATAATATTCTAATAATTACTAGCTTGAAATTAGAACTATTAAACGAACCGAGATATTCGTTTTGGCTGTGAAAGCTAAAGTTAAGTTCTTTCGTTGAATTAAACGAGCCTATCTCAAACAAATAATCAAGTTGGTTAATTAATGAGTCTAGCTTATTTGCGAGTAAATATTTTTTTTATATAGATATATTAAGGTGAATTTGTTAGCGAACGGACACTTTGTTGAATGTAATTAACGAATTATGCATTACAAAATAAACTAAATGTTTAATTTTATTGTTTTTTTTCACAAAAATGTACGTTTCATAATGCATTAGGGGGAATATATATTTTCATTAAAAAAAAAATTGTGTTCATTTCATCAGGAGGATTTTAGTTATCCCCCTATATATATAATTCTCGAAAGTGCTGAGCATAAGTGGCAGACTCGCATACTTCGTAATCCTATGTGACAATTTTTTTATACTTTATCATTTGGCTTGGATGAATTTTAATTTACTCCCAATCAAAAAATAATTAGGTTTGGAATAACCATAAATTTGCTATATACTAATAGTCTTTTTAGGAGTATTAATATTATTTTATATTTTAAACGTGATTTATAAGGCATACATTTTTTTCCTCAATCTTTCTTTTTTCCTCATATTTTTTTTAAAAATATGAAAAAATTACTAACTTAAATTATAAGTAGATTTAAAATTCATAATTTTTTTTATTTATTATCAAATTTTTATACATAATATGTCGAATTATTCATGTCTTGATGAGTTTCGATTCGACATCGAGATTGTGGATACTATATTTATCTTTATCATAAAAATTAAATTACCTATTAAAATAATAAAATTATTTAAATTAATTTAACTAGAAAGTTGTTAAATGATATAATTTACAAAAATATTATAATATAAGAAGGTAAAGTGATGTGTGTTATTTTGAATATAAATAGTAATATAGTTATTCAAAAAAAGTATTTGAAAAATAAAATAATTTTTTATTATTATTTTAATTTTAAATATAAATTTCTTAACAAACACCCACGTAGTACACGTGTATTGTACTAATTTAAAAGTCATTAAATGATGGAGCCTAATATGATGCATTTTCCTTTGCCCTAAAGTTCAAAATAAAAAGTAGATATATATTGCCCACTACAATGACAAAACAATGTTGCCCAAGAGATATAAGAAACACTCATCAGTTTCCTCATGTTTGGAGCTTTCATGAATTGTCTATGATATATCAAGTTCAATAATGGTCCATATATATAATTAATATAGATTTTAAATAAATTTATTAATTATTACATGACTAAAGAAGACATTATTATGTAGAGAGAGGAACTTTTTGCACTCCATTATTATTTAACTCATAGTTTTCCCACACCCTTTTATAATATGGACCTCAAATGAACAAAACCTTATAAGTACAAGTGTGATCAACAAAAACTACATATTTTAATAAATTTAAATGTATAAGAGAGTAAGCCATAAATATCCTTGTTGAGGATTTTCTAGTTAGTTTATATCACACAAAGATTTAAGTTTGAGTTATATTTCATGTACATTTGTATGAGTAAGATATGTACATAAACCTTGAATCTTGATCGTCCCTCGTTACATATTCACACTCCTAACACACACACACAAACATAAAAACCGAGATTGATTAATCAGAAAAGAAAAACAAAAAAAAAAGAAGAAAAAACTATGGCTGATAAATATGAGCATCATCGTAACATTCACAACCCGAAAAGCATTTTCTTGCCAATGTTCTGCCGCCTATCCATCAAAGAAGTCAAACTCAACGGCCACCGGAAAATACACGCCGGCGCCGGCGAACCCTCCTCCCCGAAAGTCAGCTGCATGGGCCAAGTCAAGAGAAACCCGACCGCCGCCGCCGGCCACCACAAGCACACAACCCCCAACCGGAATAAGCCCGGAAAAGCCCTTCTTCCGAGCACCGGCGGCGGTGCCCCTATCCCCGGCGGCGGCAGAATCAGCCAAGAGATGAACAGAGCCGCGAGAATTTCGAGGAGGTCGAGGGTGACGATCGATTTCGATCGGGATGGAGCGGTGGATGTTTCCAAGATGGATCCGCCGCTGCCCGTGGTGAGGAGGGCGGCGCCGCCGCCGGGGGCCGGCCGGGAAGAGGTGAATCTTTGGAGGAGGAGGTTTGATGGGGCGGGCGGCGGCCTGAAAAGGTTGGAAATTGAAAAGATCCGTCTGCCGGGCGGCGGATTCCAACCACCGGCGTCGTTGACGGTGTGACAAAAAAAAAAATGATTTTAGTGATTTAAAAACTTTGAAAATCAAGATTCTTTCTTTGTTTACTATAAATAGTTAAATATTTTAATACCAGATCGAGCCTTATATTAGTTTGGAGATGGTAATAAATGGATTTGTAATTTTTATTTTTTATTTTTTGTTTTGTTATAATGCAAATTTTAGTTAAAAATATTCATGTATCGTTACGTCAGTAAAAAAAAGTTACAACACAATTGCAAATTTCGAAAAGATGATGATTAAACTACTTACCACGTTCTTTTTTAATTAGATGGAGTTTGAGTCGCGTGTTTCGTTTTTGCCGAACATAAAATAAGGTTACCAAGAAAAATATAAATCAGTCATAAAACTGCAAATTTTAGACTATGTTTGATAAATCAAATAAGCTAGGTTATAGCTTATTTAGTTAACTTATAAGCTTCATGTATTCAAATAAGTCTTGTTTGGTAGGACAAGCTTATTTAATAAGCTCGAGCTTATTTGATAAGCTTCTTTAGGTAGCTTTTCAAATAAGCTAGTTGAATTTTTTATTCCAACTAGGTTATCAGCTAATTTTACCAAACACTTTTATTATATAAGCTAGTTTTTCAGCTATAAGTCATAATCTATAAGCTATAAGCTAAAAAATTACTGATAAGCTATAAGCTAGCTTATCAGCTAGTTTTACTAAACATAGCCTAAGAGGAATCGTTATTAGGCCTACAAATGAGGGAGCCAAGCTCGAGCTTAGGGGTGCTTGAGCTCGAGCCCTTAACTAGTCGAGTCGAGCTTAGCTTGTTAAATAAACGAGTCAAAAATCGAGTTCGAGCTCGACTCGTTTATCACTATTGACAAGTCGAGTTCGAGCTTTAACGAGCCGATCTCGAGTTTTAACGAGTCGAACTATCGAAAATTATATTTTCGAGTCTTATAGAGTCGAGCTGAGCTCGGCTCGTTAACCAAACGAACTTTAAATGAACTCGAGGCCAACTCATTAATTTAACAACACTAGTTGTGATAGGAGATGAAATTTTCTCTTATTTTTATTTGTTCTTTTGTTTTGGTGGGTATGAAAAAACCCGCCTCTATATTTGAAGTTTGGAAGTGGATGAAAGTCTGAGTATGGTGGATTGTAGTGCATTGGATAAACATTGGTAAGTTTTAGGTGGATTGAAATGGTCAAATTCTTTACAATATGGTCAATTATATTAATTTGTACAAAACGTTAATTTATCGTGTTTGAAACTTTCAGAATGATAAGTATTTTCCTCATTTCAAACCACAAGTGTATCTTATTCTGAAAGAAAGAGAGCAAAAGTAACTAAGGATGAAACATTGTACGAAGCAAAAAAATATAGAAAAGCAAGCAAGAACTCGAGTAAAGCTTACCGTTCAATGAATTCAAAAACATGTCCTTGGATTACACTGAAATCAAAAAAAAAAAAAAAAACCACGCAACACTGTATCCGGACAATCAATTTTGACAAAAAATGACAAGAGCTCGTTTATCATATCCATAATGAAAACCCGAAAGAGTCTACTTTCTTCCCCTGCTCAGCCTCTGCAGGTGATAGTTAATGCTACCCCAAGGCTTTCTTTTACCGCTAGACTGCAGATTATATAATTAAAGAAAACAAAAACGGGTTTTTTAACCAGTTAAAGAAAAAAAGGGGCTTTGGAAGCAATTTACTGGAACACTCAGATGCAGGACATTCTAAACATACCTGAGCATCCATGCAGGTACTCAAAAGGGATTTTTGTCGAGTGCATTTCGAGTCGTTGCCTTGTTGATCAAAGCCAGGCAGTTCAAAAACGAGATCATTTCTCTAGCGCAGGGTTTTTGGAGATTACCGAATTTCTTAGGGTTGATGAACAAGGTCCCGGCTTTTCTGCCCATACTTTCACTGATTTAAGCCCCATGATTGAACAATCAAGACAAACAGAACAAACAATGTTGTTAAGACTGTGTTTGGTAAGCATATAAGCCAACTTATAACTTATTTGGTTAGTTTATAAGCTTCCTGTATTTAAATAAGTTTGGTTTGGTAGGACGAGCCTTTTTAAAACTCGAGCTTATCTCATAAGCTTCCTTCTTTTTAAGTAAGCCCATTGAAGCTAATTTTACCAAACACTTTTATCATATAAACTAGCTTTTCAATCATACGTTACAGTCCCCGTTTGGTAGATAGTGGATTGAAGATAAATTAACGGATTGACCCGTCAAATCCGCTATTGAGCTTGTTTGATAAATAGCTTATTTAATAAGCTTTTTGGGCCCAAAACTCTAATTTAGAAAAAGCTCATTAGAGCAGCGTTTTGGGGATAAGGGATTCACAAAACTTTATTTTGTCTTATTTATTTTACAATCTACATTGATTTATGGTGCTAATAAATAATAATATGTCATCCATATGATTAATTTATCTAGAAAAATGTAAAATTCATAACTTCTTCACAAAGTATTAGTAAATTAAAAAATATATATATTTATAAATTACCAACTAAAGAATATTAAATGTTTTAATATATTATTATTAAAAGAATACACCCTAAATAATAAAATGTCCTTATTGGTCATTTTGCAATGTCAAACAGCTATAAGCTTTCAGCTATTTACCAAACACTTATTTAAAACCGCTAATGCAATCCGCTGGTCAAATCAGCTAATATAATCCGTTATCCGCTATCCGTTGATCGCCAAACAAGGCCATAAGCTTGAAATTTACTTAAAAGTTATAAAGTAGCTTATCAGCTAGGTTTACCAGTCTAAGTGCACCAATGCTATAGTGGAGGGCTCACAAACAAAATATATGCAAAAAATGTCTGGAGTTGATTAACAAGAGATTTGAGAGTTATATACTTCATGAGCTTGCAACTTACTTGAACTGTGTTCAAGTGCGGGTTAACCTTGAATACTCGATACAAACTAAAGAAACAATCAGTCACAGAATTATAAATTTAAAACTAATTCAGTTCATATATTGCCAATTATAGACAATGCAAAATCTAGTATATGTGAACCAAAAATTATATTAAGCTCAGCTATCAAGGGAAGACTTAATTTGAAAGCTACCTACACTGATTCATCGAACTCTCAATGTATCGGTCTTTTGTATTCATTGTGACCATCGATTAGATGCATTGTGTAAAATCTATCTAATAAGACATTAAGGTTAGGAATTGAGGCCTGAAAAAAAGTAGCATTTTTTAGACTGTTGTTATGTATATTTTCCAACAAGCAGACACCCTAAGACATTAACCTTTGAATCCACATTTTTTTTTTTTTCTTTTTTCTCCGTATTACTCAACACTCTTGGAGCAGAATATTACCAAACTGTCATCAAAAGAACTCTGATCAACTCATTAATAGAACAAAAGCAAAATAAAGATATATATTGCCTCAGACATTAAATCATAACACTCGAAAGAAAAAAAGAACAACCCAAATACAACAACTGATGAACACCTGAAAAAATCATGTTAATTTGCCATCCAGTGAGACCACTATTAGCCAGGCTCAACGATTACACAACTATATATTTTCAACAGATATTCATATTTTTAAACTGAAACGTCATACTCTACTAAAAAATATAAACAAAATATGACATTTCATATTATAAGTATGAAGTATAAATTTTTGTTATAAATCTAAAACTGGTCGACCCGCCTAATGGTTAGACAACTTCACACGACACAGAGAATCTGTGTTTGACACCATCATTCATAACCAACAGATTCCAAAAAAACAATCTCTCTATCTCCAATTCTCCATACAATCCCCTGCAAGTGATTTAATACTATGCAAAAGACTATGACAGAACCCACAATCCCATTATTCTGCAAAATGAACAAGATGCTCGATTTGACTTAAAAAAAATGCGGGTTTTTACGCAATTTGTTCCTCATTTACTTTACCATATTCGACGAATTAAATCCACATAATAATCTCAAGCAAACTACTCAACGAACAAATCAAATCAACGTCAGACGAGCTAACGACATAAACAAATGGAGAAAGAAATAAACCTGATACCTTGGAGAGGTGAGCGCCAATAGAGACGCGAGATTTGGGATTTTGGCAGCGGCAAAAATTGCCAGCAAAGGTGTTGAAATTTGATGGGGCAAAAGTATTGGGCCATATAGGCAGTGATCCAAAACAGAGCTAATTTGGGCCAATTCAATTGAGTGAAGCCCAAAAAGCAAAAGGGTCCATTATTATTAATATTATTATTATTATTATTAGATCCGAAGTGGTGCAGCAGGAATAAGTGAGTTGATCACGTTCTTCAACAGTGAATTTATGTGGGGAAAAGATCTGACTGAGTTGGATTTTCATTACGAGGCCTAAGTGATAAGAAAAAGTGGGCGCCGATGATGATGTTTTTTAGGTGCACAAGTGGAATTTTCAGTTATTTGTGTTGATTTATAGAATGCGTTTCTGCTTGTACACATTTAATTTCAGTTATTATTATTCTCTTTTTGAATTGTTGTCCAATTTGTATAAATTATACTGCCATGCTATTGCAATTTGTACAGAATATATTTGCATTGTCACATTCAAGAGTTCTTAAATGAAACGAGTAGCTCATAAACTCAGCTCTGCTCGTTTAAAGTTTGGTTAGTCAACTCATCTCATTAAAGCGTAAAAATAATGAAGCTCGGCATGTTAAGGCGCAAAAAAATAAGCTGGACATGTTAATATTATAAATTCGTACCAACTCATTCAGCTAAAAAGTCTGAGTTCATCTCATTAATATTGACAGACTTGTCTACTGACTAACTTAATTAACGAATCGAGTTCGTCATTGCTCGATAAAGACTCCATCGGGACAATATATTGCAATTCATAAATCTTTGATATGCTATTTGATGATAAAACGTGGCGGACAGCAAAAACTCACTAGCTAGCAAGCCAATAAGCGCAACACTTTGGTGTGCATGTGCTTGTGAAAGAAATGGACCACTTTTTGTCCATCTTTGCTCGTTTTTCAACCTTCCACAATGCATGAACACGCTTTTCTACCCCTATAAATACCCCCCATAAATCCATGTATTTGTAACTCATCCTTGTGAACCTTGATTACATTTCTAATTGATCAAAAGATATGGCTAGAAAGAAAGTTGTTTCGAGCGTTGTTTTCTTTGTTTTGTTGGGTGTCGTTGTTTGCTCGGCTGCTCGGACTCTCTTGGACTCCGGCGGCTATTATCCTTACTCCGGCGGTGGTGGAGGTGGCGGCGATGGCGGTGGTGGAGGCGGTGGTTATGCCGGCGGCGGGTTCGGAGGTGGCGGTGGTAAGGGTTCCGGCGGANACGGTGGAGGAAGTGGAGGAGGCGGCGGCTACACCCCGGGTGGTGGAGCCGGTGGTTATGGAGGCGGCGAAGGTGGAGGAGCGGGTGGCGGTGGAGGGTACGCCGGCGGTGGTTACGGAGGTGGTGGTGGGCGTGGTGGAGGAGGAGGTGGCGGCACGGGAGGTTATGGCGGTGGTGAAGGTGGTGGTGCCGGTGGCGGCGGCGGCGGCTATGCCGGAGGTGGGTATGGCGGTGGCTCCGGCGGAGGACAAGGTGGAGGGCATGGTGGCTATGTTCCATAGAAGCAATATTGGGGGCTTGCTAGTGTATTGTCCAATTATCTTAAGAAGGAATTATAGTATTCTTCTTTGATTATCAATCTTTATGAATGTGGGGTATTGAGAATAATATGTATAAGTTGTGTTTTGGTTGTGATGTATGAATGATTGAACGTTGTGACTTGCACTTTGGTGCATGGCATTTGTAATATGGTGATGTTAAAATCACTTAATCGATGATATTTTTAGTTTCAATTTCGGATTTATCATGCAAATGTTGTAGAATGCATGAATCATACCATTTAAGCCCAATAATGGAAAATTCAAAGTCAATTTATATTGGTGGTTTTGAGTTATGAAACTCTCAATCGTGTAACTGTGATTCATTGTTGTGATTTTGAGTTCGCATTGATGAGTTTGTACAATGTTTTTCATTTAATCAACTTTAATCGTGACTTAAATGTCATGATTCGAGTTCATTATGTATTATATCTTATGAGTAAGGTTATGTGCATCAGTGTATCTCTAGTTGTCCACTCACTTCTCTAGGCCTTTCGTGCTTTTTATGAGAATATAACGTTTATCGTTGGCTTGAGGCAATTTCTCTTGCCCATCTTACTTTAAAAAATAAGTTAAAGGTATTGTAAGATTAAATTGGTGGTATTATTGGATAACTTGAGTTAAAAATTTTAAATATTATATAATTTGTAGAAATTAGTTATTGGGCGGCAATGGTGGGCGATTTGTGCATTCATTTGATTGTGTTGTACATGGACTGAGCCATTATAAATAGTGCCTCGGGATTTTATACACAGGCCCAACCTTCATTCCTAGGCCAATTTCTGAAGGCCCAATGTATGCATATTTGTGTTGTGTCAAGTTTCTGGAAAAGAAAAAAAAAAAAGGTTTTATAAGTTATTTTAGCAATGTCTTAAAAATATATCATCGCTAATAATAATGCCAATTTGTTTGTTGATAACAATAAATTACCAATAAAGGTAAGGATTATGGTAATTATGGGATGGAAAGCGTGGAATAAGCAACGAAACAGAGATCGATACGAAATTTAGATAGTCAAAACGATATTTCATTGTTTTAAGTGTTTTGTTCGTAAATAATAAGTTGAGATTTAATCTTAAGGCCTTAAGAGTTATGACACAATCAATCATGTGCTTTTATATCATGCCGATTAAAGACTATGTGATCTTCAACCTCACAACTTGTACATTGCATTTTTAGCTACAAATTGTAGTAACATTTTAAATATTATTATTTTTTGTACAAAATATTAAAGTATTGATTTAAGGATGGATCTAATTGTAAAACTTTTTTTAGGCAACGATTATATATTTTTTTTCAATAAATAAGCATACTTTTATTTTAAAATATTATACTTTTAAAATGTTCATATAGCATTAATATATCTATTACTCTTACTTATAAAATTAAGGTAAGAGGTTTCTTTACTTGACACGTGGCTCTTCAAATCTATAAGGCCACGACGCTCATATTCATAACGACGCCGTTTTGAAGAGGTCATTTCTGGACCGTCGATTTTAGGGATTGAATTCCAACTGTTCGTCTATAGTTTTAAATGATTTCCTCCCTCATTCTTGCCTCTCCCGATGAACGCTTCCCTCTCCCTCTCCCTTTCCTTATGTTTCTTACTCTATTTCCTAATATTTTCTACCATAATTGCTTTAGTTCTTTTAAGTTGTTTGCTTCAATTTTTCCTTCTTTACTTTGTAGGACTAAATATATATATATAATGCCTCTTAAGGCAATTCTTTTCGTGGGATGAAGGTGCTTGCTATGCCCCATGGAAATATGGAACATATAGAGACATTTAATATGTTTTGAGCATATACTCAAATGTTCAACAAGTGTTCATTATTTAATACATGTTTATGATTTGATATCATAAATGAGAGGGTGGAATGTAATTGACAAAATTAAGAGTCTACTATGAATCATGTACTTATTTACTTTTTCTATAATTCTATTGAAAAACAATGTTAATGTTGTCAGAGATGATACAACAACTAGCCAGTATCACATGTAAAATTAAAATCTTAATAACGAGTTATTACTTCATTCCTTGCCCTTCTTATTTATTACTTTGATTTAGGAGTTTGATGTATTTATTGTTCTAGACACTAATCGAGGTGGTATATTTAGTGACATATTTTATTTATGGTTTCAAGGTATTATTTTTTATATTTTCCAATTACAAAATAACAACATGAAAAAAATAAAAAGATTTAACGTGAGCCGGCCGTGTTGTGCACGGCGATAGCCGGCTAGTACTTATTTTAAAAAGATACGATAGATTTAAAGACCCAATAATTAAATCAATTTAAGAATTTATGACTTCTTCAAAATAATTCAATTAAAAGTTACAATGCATCAAAAGACCCAACAATTAGGTCAATATGTGAATTTGTGACTTCTTCAAAATAATTCAATTAATAAACCATAGTGTTATTTTGAATGTGATCATTCCTATATCTATTTTGATTCTTTATGATCCACAGAAAAAAATTTTAAACGAAGTTTTATCCATTCCACCATTATGTATATCACTACTAGTGCAACATTCATATATTATAGAGTGTTAATTAAAATTTAGATACTTAAGAAAATATAAAAGTATAAGTAAGTTTTTAAATTTTTTACAAAATAAAATATTGGATAAAATCACTTGTTTACAAAATATTTTTAGATAATTTAAAATTTGTATTATGTTAAATCATTGAATTTATTATTATTGGATCAATATACACCATCCAATCCATATAAGTATATATTTGTATTTTGATAGAACGAAATAATCGGATAATAGCCAGAATCTAATATAATATAAAAAAAATATTATCACATCAAATCTGAAATTCAACTACATGTAGGATTCTCTCAATAGTCAAATACTTCATTACACACACCCACACGTCCAACAGCTCCTGTTTGCCTCAACAAAACGCAGACCTTTTCCCTCTCAACAAATATCAAAACGAAACACCCAAAAAAGGATTCAAAAAGTTTGTATTCCAAACACGGAACTAACCCAAAATAATTATCAAAAATTCAAAAAAAGCCCCAATTTTGCTTTTAGCCCCCAAATCTGAACAGGAACCCTAACCCTAGCCGCTACCACCGCACGATACGCACAAATCTCCTCTTTCCTATCACTGTATCTGTTAACGCCGACGCTGTAGATTGGTTATTGATCTGATTTTTTTTTTCGTAGGGTGTACTGTATTAGGGTTTGGATTTTTGTGCGAGATGTGGTGCTGCAAAGGTGGAGTTGGTGAAATTGGACAGCTAGCGGGATGAACGGTGGAGGCAGACGCCAGAGGCGGCGGAAATCCATGGCCGGCTGCAGGGGCGCCGCGGAACCGGAGAAAACCGACGGTAATTGCGATTCCCCCAATTTGGACTCTGAAATTACTGAAAAGCCCTCGGGTTTCCCAGATATTACGAAACTACCCCCGAAGTCAGAAGCTGAGCTTGACTTGTACACTCAAGCTCGTAAGGCGCTCTCCCTTCGTTCCCCGTTCGATTCTGAAGACTCGCAAGCTACTCCGGCGTGTGTATCGGCTGTGAGTTCTCTGCCAAGTGGGGTGTCTCATTTGTTGGGTCGGCCCTTGGATAGTCGCAAATGGCACAAGAAGTTGCATTTGGGGTCGGAAAAGAAGTCGTCAGCTCCAAGTAAGGCTCGTGGGAGCAACATTTGGATTGAAACGGAGGAGTATTTTCGAGAATTGGCCATCGAGGATGTTGAGAGGCTGTATGGGTTTTCAAGTTCTAGGTTTTCCAGCGATGACAAGTGTTTCTCGATTCCATACCTTGCTGGTGATGGTAATCAGCGTGTTTATTTTGACACGTTTAATAGGATGCTCATGAATGGTTCAGACGAGTTGAAAAGTAATGGTGACCTCAAGATTAATGAAAGAATCACAGAAGAAGAGAACATGGCTGCTTCTATTGATGTTTGTGTAGATGAGGTCGCTACAGACGAGTTTCAGATGAGAGAAGAAAGTAATGAAGGGAAGAGACTGAACAATGAGACTGATTCGACTTCTTTTAGTGGTGTGGAATGGCTTTTAGGATCTAGAAGTAAAGTTTATTTGGCATCAGAAAGGCCCTCCAAGAAGCGGAAGCTTTTGGGGAAGGATGCAGGGTTGGAGAAACTCCTTGTGGCACATCCAGTCGAAGGTTTAGAGTCTGTCTGTCATTACTGTAGTAATGGGGACATGGGCAACCCATTAAATTTGTTGATTAAGTGTAGTTCTTGTGAGATGGTAGTCCATCAAAGGTGCTATGGAGTACAAGATGATGTGGATAGCTCCTGGATGTGTTCCTGGTGTAAATGGAAAAATGTTGTGGAGTTAAGTAAAGCGACACCATGTATGCTTTGTCCTAAGCAAGGTGGTGCACTGAAGCCTGTGCAGAAGAGGGGATTTGGTAGTGACTGTGGGAGGTCTAAGGTGGAGTTTGCTCATTTGTTCTGTTGCCTGTGGATACCTGAGGTTTATTTGGAGAACACTAGGGCTATGGAACCAATCATGAATGTGGATGAGTTGAAAGAGACGAGACGAAAGCTGATCTGTCATCTGTGCAAGGTTAAGCACGGTGCCTGTGTCAGGTGCAGTAACGGTATGTTTTGCTGCTTTTCTATGTTACAGTCACCCATTTGTTTGTTGGAGTGGCTGGGCAGAAGAATTGTGTGTTATTTGGAACTTATAGTACCTATCAGTGCCATCTTATATATTGGGCTATGGAACAAACTAGGTGCTGCCGTGCTGGTTTTAACCATTTCATTGTATGAATATTTTGAGTACGTGTTTGATCTGACCCAGAATGTTGTATTATGTTTGAAGCATTTTTGCAACTGTATAATTGCTTCAGAAAATACTACATCTTTATCTGATAGTTGTTTAATTGTCCAGCTCTACAAATGTAAATGTATACTATGTTGAGACATGAATAAGTTATTCACCGGGTTCTGCTGGTCGATGGAAACTCATTTTCTGTCTCTTCATTTTTTTTTCTTTGTTTTTTTTATAAGTTTCCCGTATTGGTGGTGGAATTTGGTGCATGGATTGTGGAAGGATTTTTATTAGTTGGTTAAATTTCCGTGGCTACTTATGGCTTATCTTAACATACAACATTCTGAGTCATTTTACAGTTGCTGTGAATTTGAGGGCAGTCTCTTTTCGTTTTTTCTTTCAGCTCCATCAAATCGGGTTCTTAAAAAAAATCAACTGGTTGTCGTCAAACTTTTTTGTTAGCTGAACATAAACCATTAAAATTAGTTTTCAGTAATATTCTTGGCAGTCTTGAGATCTCTGTTAACTTTCTGAGACTGTAAATAGTGGTTCAAGTAGAAGAAACGAGAAATTTCTCACCAATGAGGTTAAGTCTGCTTGACGGAATTGCAACAATTAAAGGGATTTTATCTGTATATTTATCCACGAAACATGGATCTGTCTTAATATGAATGGAAGCAGCCTATCAATGACCCTAACAAAATTGCTTTTCTGTTACATTATATCTTTATAATTGAGGAAATCAGAGGAAATAACTCGTGCACATAAAAATGTAGAATATGGAGAAAAATATCCTACGGGAGAAGGTGGTGGTGTTGCTTTTGTGCATCAACTGTTGTAGTCCCCTGAACCATTTTGTTTTGTTTCAATTTATATCTCGTTCACATTTTAAGCTTCTGGTTGCAATTTGGCAGGCCAGATTTGATTTCTTTACTTAGCCAGAGCAATTACAAAGCATATGGTCTAGCATTATATTTCCCGAGATATATTGTTTACAACAACATTTGCAAAGTGAAATAATTTGGAAACCTTGGACCTTTTCAATCAATACTCCATTAGAGTTTTAGTTCATGGTCTTGTTGGTACTCATGATGGGACGCATAAACCTAATATAAAACAATTCAATACATGGAACAAACGCTAGAAGTAATGATTGTCTAAAGCCGAGAAGGCTGCAGGAATTAACCATATGCAACCAATTATGATAGAAATGTTCTCGACTTTTCATTACATATGCATGGGCATCATTGTAGGTTTAATGCTTTTGGCTGCATTTGGCATTGCTTAGGAGATTTTTAAAAATTCAATTTGACATCTATGTTGTTCGACCTATTGTGATAGATAGCAAATCTACCATTGTACCCTATTAAATGCCAAGTTTTACAGATTAGATCCTTGACTCGCGTGCTAAAAGTTAACAAATTGGTTGTACAAATAGTAAAAAATCCATGAAAAGATATATAGTAGAAGTGAACAAGGTCTTATGACACTGTTGATCGTTATATCTTTTCTTTTTCTATCTATACGAGTATTCCCATCACCTCATAATGCAGACCATTCTTGATATGAATGAGACACTCAATATCTTAAGCTTATCTAGCTGCGTCGACAGTTTCCACCTCGTACATATCTTAAGCTTATACTATTTTTGACAAGAGTTTCTCTCTTCCAAGAAATTGTTCGTTTGCACTGTTTCTCAGCAGAACCCTTACGTTTTTGTTTGTTCAATAGCTATCTGCTTTGTGTAATGGCATGTTAGTGATTTTCTCATTGGGACTTCATGGAATATGATGAAAAAGAGAACCTAAGCTTCTTTGTTCAAGATATTATTGTGATTCTTCTATGACTGTTGCTGATTAGTTGGTGGTTCATTTGATATTTGTTAGGATCTTGTAGAATGTCATTCCATCCTATTTGTGCAAGGGAGGCAAGACACAGAATGGAGATATGGGGAAAACTCGGATCTGATGAGGTGTGTTCTCTTTCGTATTTAATTAGAGCCAAAGCTTAAATGTTCTAATATTGTTATTTGCCTTGTGGGAACATCAATTTAAAACTGAGGGAGGAGAAAATCAGTGATGTTCTCTATTTTAATTATTGAAACATCATTTATTGTGGTTGCTTTAGTTATTGTTTCTTTAGGCTCTATGCTGTAATAATCAGTCTTTTACTCTGTTTTTGGTGAATCTTTTTGAATTTTTGTTACTTTTCAGGTTGAACTGCGCGCTTTTTGCACAAAACATTCAGAAGTCGAGTGTGATAGTGGCACTCAAGATGCTGAAGATGTTTCATTGACAGGTAATTCTATTTCCCACTTTTTTTAGAGTGAAAAGTGTAAGCATTTTCATTAAATGAAACACTCAGTTGAAATGGTTTTAAATTGGATATTCCGTTTGAAACAGCTGATCTGGATATTAAGAAGCTTAATGATATTGTATTGGATGGTGAGGACTTACTCCACAACAGAAGAAATTCGGACTCTCATCCAGAATATGGAGATCCAATGCATCTGGCTGATAGAAATGGCAGCGAAGATGTAAATGCTTGTGGTGTTTTCAGTTTCTCTATGATGCTGAAGAAGGTAGCTTAAGATTTTATGTATGACAATGGTAAACTATTTTTAGTCACTTATTTACCTTCCATTTTCTTTAGTTGATTGATCTAGGGAAAATCAGTTCCGAAGATGTTGCCTCAGAGATTGGCGTTTCACTGGATTCATTGGACAAGATACTAACTGTAATGCTTGAGCTACATTTATTTATTCTATTTTTCTTTTCAATTGTCATAATATGTCAGCAGTAAATGGGGATGTATTGCTTAGCTATATCTGATATTGGTCATCTTTTTCTCTTGCCTCTTTTGGATTCATTCAGGATAATCACATTGTACCAGAGTTACAGTGTAAACTACTTAGATGGCTGAAAAACCATGTTCAAATTGGCAACTTACAGAAAACAATGAAAGCGAAGGTTAGATCACTTGTAGCCCCCAAAGATGTGGCAGATGTAGCTGATGGTGGTGATGCTGTTCCAGTAGAGTCCAATATTTCTGATTCTGTTCCAGTCAAATCTGTTCCACCTCGCAGAAGAACCAAAAGCAGTATAAGGACTGTCAAAGGTGAAACAAATGACGGTTATGTTGATTCATGTGTTCTTGTCGGAGAAGATTCAAACGATCCATCTGGAGAGTCTTTGTCTGATGGTACCAAGAAGGTAGTGTTACCTTTTCATGATGCTGTTTTACGAGGGAGGTTTTTGTTGATTGTAAAGTGCATGATTTGCATTCTTTTTTTAAAATGCTATTGAGGGTTCTTATGTTATTGTTTTTAGATGCACTCTGTGACATTTATTGCCTATTGCTGCCAAGTGTTTAGTATTGCATGTGAATGGTATTAATCAACCCATCATAACATATGTCACACATAATATCATGCTGGTGTTTAATATCATCAATCCACCGATACGACAGTGGTAAGTGAGGTACACCAATTTTATATTTTCTTAGAGGCGTGGATCTGGTTTCGTTAGATGCACTATGTTTCCCTTTTTTAACCATGATATGACTGTAATAGAGTGTTGCCGCTGTATGTATGTCATGTCAGCTTTTTTGGGCTTGATATAGTTTTTAGAGCTTTACTTTATGCTTTCTGTTGTGCAGATTTTGGTTGACTATGAGCAGCATCAGGATGATTCAGTGGAAAATTCTATCAAATTTGAAGGTATTGTTTCGGCCTTTCGGGAGTTAAAAGTGTGTAATTTTATGCATTCATTTTCAGAAGTTGTACTGAATCTGCTTGAAAGCATGATTTACCTTATATGCTTTATGTGATGTGTTGTTTGACTATTCCCTAAAATTTTGCTACAACAACAACAACAACAACATACCCAGTATATTCCCAACAGGTTGGGGTCTGGGGGGGTCAGTTGTACGCAGACCTTACCCTTGTAATTATACAAGGGGGCTGTTTCCGTAGCGACCCAAGGTGCATTGCGCCGTTTGATATATTTTTTTTTTTCTAGAAACTTCACTAATAGAAGAAGCACTAGAATTTAATTGAGCCATTTTGATCTAGTCCATTATTCCCTAAAATTTTGCTATATTAGTGAAATGATTCTGACTGCAACTGTGTGCAGTTTATATACTATTGCTGATTTATGCCTCTTTCTGCGGCAGACGAGCTGAGAGCTCTAGTGCAGTTTCTTTCTGAAGATGGTTTGCATGCAGAACGTAGACAATCTCAACAGATGACTTCGTTTTCACCTGTGTTGATGTAAGTTTCTGTTAAAAACATCCTTGTCTATAGTGTTGCGCTTAACTTCTGAAACCCACAGTCATTTTCTAATCATTTCATCTTTCTATGGCAAATGGGATTTTTGTAAATTTCTGACTCATCTGTGCATGATGATTTGTAGAAATGGGGAAAGTAGTCATATGTCGTACATACATCCATTTATCTACAGTAAACTGATGCAAACCAAGAAAGAAGTGCTTGAGAGAGATGCATCTTGTCAGACTGCGGGTTTGTTCCTTTCTGGTTCTCCTGTTTTGTTTNTTTTTTTTATCTCTGTTAAAGTTGCGTGATTATTTACACGATTGGCAGTTCTGAGAGAGCGGGAAGCTTCACAGTTAGGGGCATCTTCTAGTTCAGGCCTCTGTTGTAATAACGATAACTTGCAGAGGACTTCGAGTGACCGGACCTCTAAATGCAGTGGAGTAGATCTTGATCAATTGGTTGATGCAAGAAATACGGGAATACTCAAACTATCTCCTGCAGATGAAGTGGAAGGAGAACTCCTATACTATCAACATCGAATCATTTCCAATGCTGTTTTGCGGAAACATATAAGTGGTCTCTACACTCTCTTGTCTCATCTCTTGTATTTATTAATTTTTGGGTTGTTCTTTTAGGTGACTGTACACACAGTGTTGTTGAATTCAATTTGTTTCTGTTGAAGATTGTATTAAGTTTATTTTTCTCTTTCTAATGACCTGGTCACAGATGATTTGATCTCAAGGGTTGTTAGTAGCCTACCACAAGAGATGGATGCTGCTGGAGAACGAAAATGGGATGCTTTACTAGTTAGCCAGTATCATCATGAACTTAAGGAAGCAAGAAAGCAAAGCAGAAAAGAGCGTCGCCATAAGGAAGCTCAAGCTGTATTGGCTGCTGCCACTGCTGCTGCTGCTGCTTCCTCTAGGTTGTCATCAGTTAGGAAAGATAGCCCAGAAGATTCTTCACAGCAAGAGGTTATATTTAAGCCAAGTGTTCTGACTGATTATGTTTTCTTCTTCCCCTTCCATTTTCTCGAAAATTTTCTTATTTTTATATTCTATATTATTTTTTCAGGATTTTATGAAGATGAATTTACCAGATGTGAGGAACGGGGCACACTCTCATCTTAATTCTCGAGTGAAAGAGACTGTTACTAGGCTGGCTGTTGCAAGCTCACTTGACAAGAATGGTGATTCAGGCCATTTAGCTTCTTCAGACAATCCAAAAGATCGTCCTAAGACATGTGATGTCTGCACACGATGCGAGACAGTTCTGAATCCGGTTTTAGTCTGTTCAAGTTGCAAGGTTTGCAGTTGTGTTGTTCTAACTTCTTTATAGCTTTGTTTCTGAAATTCTATTTATTAATTTCTGAACATT